CCCCAAAACCCCAAAACCCCAAAACCCCATTAAAAATCATAAATAATAGTTATAATTGTTACACTAATGAAGTTTCTAAACATTGTGTTGAGAGAAATCCTAATCTATTTAGAATTTGAAGATATTCAGAAGTAGGCATCTGCTCTAACTTTAGGTCCAAACTCCACTTGGTCAACAAACAGTTCTATCATAATATTATGTAAGTTATTGGATGTGCTAGTCGTTAAATGATATCTTACAAACACTTTAGAGAGATAGATAATATTTTTGTTTTGAAGCTCTTAGTAACCTGATGGATTGTATTTTCTAATGTTTTAAATTCTAGTGCAAATGAGGCATTATATAACTTGCAAACCATCTATTATTGGTTTTCATCTGATTTGGCTAAACTCAATTTAGTGAAGACAATGAGCTCCTCAGAAGAATGTTGCTTCAAAAAATTACCTTAGTCATGGACTATGATAAAGAAGAACAGTACCACAGAGAGGTAATCCTAAACAACAAGAATGAGCAAGCTGAAGAATCAAAAATGTAATTTAGTCATCTTTGAATTTCAGATATCTTTTTCTACTTTCACCCAAAGATATTGGCTTAAAGCTTTGTCAGAAATTTAGTAGGAATCTCACAATTTGTATAGAGAAGAACTTACTGCAGTTAAGTTTTACGAAGATCCAAGAACCTCTCTGATTCCGTTACTGCTTGAACTCCAGAAAGAGCAGGAGAGACTACTGCTGGTGTTTCAACGCACTAGTGGAGGTCACTACAAAGACTATGATAAAGTTGAGAATGTATTTCTAGACAATGAAGAAATGGAGATCCAGTATTATTCAGCCCCTCAAGTATTCTTTCCAAACGGCCTTTGTTGCCTCACAGGGATTGTCTATGGGACAGAGAGCAAAGAGCTCAAATATTGGCTCAGGGCTGTAGATATAATAGAGCCTAATTGTAAAATTAAACTCAAAAGTCTTATTGATAGTGCAATTAAACAGAGTGATTCATCCTTTGGAATAAACATTATTAATATCCTTACCAAAACTGAGAGAGCTATCAAATCTGTACTTGAAAATAACCTGAATAAACTTTCTATCTATGAAAATGGAAAATATATACAGCACGATAAGCAAGATAAATAAGGCAAATCATACTAAGAAATTAAAGGTAAGTGTCTACTTCTTAAAGATAGGAGAGGAACCAGACCTATCAATATGATACGTCTTGTTATGACAATTTAATAAGACAGAATCTATTTTTGATAAAGGAGATAAAGTAAGAATAGAAATGTTTAGAACATTTGAGTATTTTCTTCCCTTAGATCCTGGCATTCCAGTATTTGATATGATTTACTCACTCAGATCCTTACGAAATATTTCAAGCAATGAATCTAAAATATTACAGAATATATATTATTCGTTTTATAGAGTAATGGGAAAAATTATTTCTTCCTGCCCAATCAAAGCAATTGCTTTATTTGTGCATGATTTTCCAACAATTCCAGAGAATCATCCCTTGGTTTTGCTCACTCAGAAGGTATATGATCTCTCCGAATGTAAGTAAAAATAGTTTTAAAATTAGTCATAAATGAATTTGTTGGGGGTAAACGAAGCTAAGTCTGCTTTCTAAAATTAAAAATATGAAATGATAAAAGAAGTAATATAAACACATCTTTGCTCTATTTCATGTATCTTTAATTTTTTATAGCATTGTGGTCTATTAGCAGAAGTTCAACTTCTTTCAGAGAAGCGTTATACTATAAGCATTTCATAAAATGCTTCAGTGAATTATCAGAAAGCGGATTGATACCAAAAATTAGTAGTAATGCTTACAACTGGATGGAGTTCGACCAAAAGTTTTACTTTAAAAAGTTTGATTCAAAGCAGAGTAACTTCACTATTAAATTATAGATTGTGAAGAAGAGAAGCTAGACTTCTCAAAAGCAGATCTTAATCAAGAAGATACATCAAATATTGAGGAAATGTATCAACAGTTAGAAGAGTAAGTTTCGCAATACTAGTTTAGTCATTTCCCAGTGTTGAAAATTTTTCTAATATTTATATATTGTAAAGACTTATATTACACTTTTGGATTAGATTAAAGGAACTAAAATTGAGATGCTGGGTACGATAGTGGCTAAACTTTGAGTTTTGTTAATTAATTTAGTAGGGATTAATATTAACTCTAGAACGGACTATTACAGAATTAGACTTGCTGCAATTGGATATGGCTTTGATGTAATTCTGTATATCAATCTCTAGACCAAAATAAAGGAATACAATTATGAATTTAATCAGATGATTGCAGGAAGATTCATCACAGTCCTTGGTAAGTTAGTGAATGGTTATTGATTCATAATTTTAAACTTTTCCAAAATTATAACTCTCATTAATAGCTCTCGATGCTACTACAGATGATGATTACTTCTCGCAAGTAAATATTGGAGGAATTTTTTTCAAAGGAAAAATAATTCCAAGCATTCTTAATTTTACTGAATAAAATTATCCAAAGTCTTGCCCAGAAATTATGATATATTAGAAGATTTATTTGGCATGGGCTACAGGAAATTTTCAAATAATTACCTGCCTACTTCTAAAAATTAAATCACAATTACTGACCAGTTAAAAGGGCAGATGAGTAATCTTAAGTGTTAGGACCAAATCGGTTAGTGTAAATTCATAGATAACCTTAAAAATGTTCTAACAACATCAAGTTAATTTATTATTCCCGTTTGCTGTCCCAGGCTTAAAGACCTATTAAACATTAGCTAGGGTTCAGTCTGTATAGCCAAGCTTTACCCTTTAGCTTAATTCGGTTATAAGTCGAATAAATTAAAAATAAAGTTGCTGAATGTGGTTTATTAGAGATCATTCTGTACTTGAAATTATGCAAAACTTGGAGATATGTGTTGGCAGATTGACTTAACAAAGAAAAAGACAAAGGTAAATATTTAAGTAATAGTAAGGATTTTTTGGTTTGATGTGAGCTTGGAAAAGATTTCTAAGTTCTATGACTATCATTGAGATACGAAATAACAGATTTTAGACATTTTATCAATAACTTATTATCATCATTCAAAACTTAAATTCCCCATTGGGGTTTTGGGGTTTTGGGGTTTTGGGG